GGGAGGGTTGGACCCATCCTCAGATATAAAGACACCTTGAAGGCCAACCTCAAAGTATGCAAAATAGACATTACAACTGGGAACTGTTGCATTGGACAGATCCAGATAGAAAGGTCTGTGCCATGAGGCCCTGTCCACTTTTGAGGAGTGGTCTTGTTTGTTGTACTTTTCTGTGAAGTGAGCATTGGAACTGGGACTAGATGAAGAAGAAATTTCTCCCTGAGACAATTGTATTCACAAATACACGTCACATCAGTATTGACTTTGAGGAATCAAGCTAGGGTAGATTGATCTAAATCAAAATAATTGAAATCACGGATTTTAATCATGGCTGAAATCAGCAAGCAGGAAACCTTGATTTAAACAATCAATTTTATTCTTGTTTTGCATTTGTACTTTTTAGTTATTTTCCTTTAAAAAAAGGTTGATTATCATTATTGCTAACCATGACAATGTTGATTTGCAACTAAATATAGCCTTTACACTAAGTTTGGTACTTCTTATTGCTAACCTGGAGAATACACTCTATCTATACATATTTAAGCAATTCTATATCTCAATAGATACCTGTTCAGATTCTTAATTTTTACATTTTTGTGTTATGTTAGAAAATGGTGACTTATATGTCTATTTGTTATATGATTAATTTTTTACTTGTGATTTGTGTCAAGCTGCATTTGGAGGAAAATTTTAATTCAATTAAAAATGGACTTAAACAGCATTTTAAAATTGTTTTTACTAGTTAAATAAAATGACCTTAAATGTACTGGATACATAAGAAAAAAAGAGTACGTTTAATAAGACATGTTTTGCATTTTAAACAAACGGATTTATTAAACAAAGGAAATGTTACGTGTAGTTAGTGAATTGAACAAATTGTGTCTGGTCACCATGTCCTTCAAGATTTTAGAACAAACAGAGCTCATACTCTCTCACCTAGTTTTATTCATAGATTGGAAGAGGAAAACAAGCTCTCCTGCTTTTCCAACTCCCAGTCATTTTCTCAGCTTTGTATTAACTAGCTAAATAAACGGCAATGAAGAAAATATTATCTTTGCCCCTGCACTAGAGGCTACTGCTGTCAAAAGCTGGTGCAGTGCACTCCAACAAACTCTGGTTCCAGGTGCTTAGATCAGTACTTCACCAGTTCAGTGATCTAACTTTCTTTAAAACTTAGCAGCAAACCCCTTGCAGCTGTGAATTGCTCCCTCCAGGCCTGGGTAGGGGAAGAAGGGGACCCCGCTGTACTCCCAGGCCTGAGGAAAGAGAGATGAAGAACTTCAGGAGCTGCAGAAGGAGCAGAGTGTGAGTAGGGAGGGGGTCAGAATTGATTTGGAGACTGAAGATGAGGAACTGATGTGAGGGCAACATTTATGTGGGTTTAGGGGGTGCAGTACCGATGTGGAGGCTGAGGAGCAGAACTGTTGTGGGTGCAGAATTAAATTAGTGGTCTGGGAGGCAGGCAGATACTGGGGGTGGGGCAAAGAATTAATGATGGTGTTTGGAGAGAAGCTGGAAGCTCCACGCAATCAGGCATCCAATAAAAGCTCCTGCAGCAGGGGCCAAAATTACTTTCTGAATTTGAGCAAGTTTGCAACAGTAATTGTTTCACACACATGCAGGGAGGGAGAACTCAACAGTAAAAACACAGAGTATAATTTCCCCCCAAAATCATTAGTTTTTTTTTTTAATCTCACTATGGGGGGGTGGGTGGGTCTGACCTCATGAGTTTTTAACTTTTGAAATTGGTGATACTGGAATACCAACCCTCCCGCAATGCACATATGTGGAAAACCTGTCAGTAAGATCAAAGGAGATATCACACATATGTATAGTACATAAGAACCGCCATACTAGTTCAGACCAATGGTTCATCTAGCCCAGGGGTGGTGAAACTATGGCCCACGGGCCAGATCTGGCCCCTCATGGCTTTGGATCTGGCCCGCGGGATTGCCCCCTTGTCTCCAGGCTCCGCCCCTGGCAGCTCCCATTGGCCGGGAATGGGGAACCGCGGCCAATGGGAGCTTCGGGGAGATACCTGGCCGTGCAGCAAGATACCTTCAGGGAGATACCTCCTCCCTCCTCCCCCAGGGGTCACAGCGTTTCCTGGAGCAGTGCAGGGACAGGGACAGGGAAGGCATGCAGGGAGCCTTTCCTGGCCCTGGTGCGCGCTGCTGCCACCCTGGAGCCGCTTTAGGTAAGCGGCACCGGGCTGGAGCCTGAAACCCTCCTGCATCCCGCCCCCCCAATTCCCTGCCCTAAGCCCCCTTCCTGCACCTCGCACCCCAACTTCCTGCCCTGAGCCCCCTCATACACCCTGCACTCCTCTTGCACCCCAACCCCCTTTCCTGAGCCCCCTCCCACAGTCCGCACCCCTCCTGCACCCCAACCCCCTTCCCTGAGCCCCCTCATACTCTCCACACCCCTCTTCTGACCCAATCCCTTACCCTGAGCCCCTTCCTGCACACCGCACCCCCTCCCACATCCCAACCCCGGCCCTGCATACAATTTCCCCACCCAGATGTGGCCCTCAGCCCAAAAAGTTTACCCACCCCTGATCTAGCCCAATACCCTGTCTTCCGATAATGGCTGGTGCCAGATGCTTCAGAGGGAATGAACAGAATAGGGCAATTATCAAGTGATTCATCCCCTGTCATCCAGTCCCAGCTTTTGGCAGTCAGAGGTTTAGGGACACTGAGAGCCTGGGGTTGCACTCCTGACCATCTTGGCTAAGAACTCCATGAACTTATCTATTTTTTCTCTGAATCCAGTTATACTTTTGGCCTTCACAACATCCCCGGCAATGAGTTCCACAGGTTGATTGTGCATTCTGTGAAGAAGTACTTCCTTATTTTTGTTTTAAGCCTGTTGCATATTCATGTAATTGGGTGACTGACCAGTGTTTTTTTTGTGTTATGTGAAAAGGTAAATAACACTTCCCTATTCACTTTCTCCACACCATTCATGATTTTATAGATCTCTATCACATCATCTCTTTTCTAAGCTGAACAGCCCCAGTGTTTTTAATTTCCTCATACGGAAGTTGTTCCATACCCCTAATCATTTTTGTTTCCCTTCTTTGTACTTTTTCCAATTCTAATATATCATTTTGAGATGGGATGACCAGAACTGAACACAGCATTCAAGGTGTGGGTGTACTATGGATTTATACAGTAGCATTACGATATTTTCTGTCTTATTATCTATCCCTTTCCTAATGGTTCCTAACATTCTGTTAGCTTTTTAGACTGCCGCTGCACATTGAGCAGATGCTTTTAGAGTCATCATGAATATTTCTCTAAGATCTCTTTCATGAGTGGTAACAGCTAATTTAGACTCCATCATTTTGTAATATGTATGTATAGTTAGGATTATGTTTTCTAGTGTACATTACTTTGTGCTTATCCACACTTAATTTCATTTGCCGTTTTGTTGCCCAGTCACCCAGTTTTGTGAGCTCTCTTTGTAACTCTTCTCAGTCAGTTTTGGACTTAACTATTTTGAGCAATTTATATCATCTGCAGACTTTGTCACCTCACTGTTTACCCCCTTTTCCAGATAATTTATGAATATGTTGAACAGCACTGGTCCAAGTATAGATTGTTGGGGGACCCTGCTATTTGCCTTTCTCCACTGTGCAAACTGACCATTTATTCCTACTCTTTGTTTCCTATCTTTTAACTAGTTTTTGATCTCTCTCATTTTACATTCATGTCCTATAATAAAACACTGGGACTAGAAGAGACGTGGGCATGGTATAAGGCAGGCCTGCACAACATATGGCCCGTGGGCCGCATGCGGCCCATGGGGGCTCACTGTGCGGCCCACGGGGGGATTCTAAACCCCACGCACACAAAGTCCCGAGGCTGGCGTGGCGGCGCTTCCTGGGGCAGCTTCTGGTGGCGGGCCTGCCCGCCGACAGGAGCCAGCAATGCGGGACACGGGGGATGGGAGCCCTCGCGCGCCGCCA